GACTGACGCAGCTCCCTGGGCTGCTGCACTCACAGCAGCCTCCCTCCCATAAACCAGTTTGCAAGCCCTGTGCGGGCAGAGACTGAATGTCCTTGTTCTGTATCTTCCCCGAGCAGAGTGCCTGACTCCTTATTAAGTAGTTTTTAACACATTGACTGCCACGTGAATTGTATTTAACTCACTCTAGTTTTGAGCCCAGAGCTTCGTAAAGTAAAACCCTGCAGTTGGTTCGTGAAAATCTTAACTTGTTGATGTCCTTATTGTTACAATTAATACTGACAATTGTAAAAACGTGGATTGTGTTGCATATAACTTTAATGCACAGAAAACAATAAAAAATAACAAATTAGAAAGGATTATTTTGTTTTAATAAAACACCGTGGGAAATGTTTTTTTCTAGTGTGGCAGTCAGTGTGTTAAATTCCTCATTGAGTTGGTCTTAGTTCTTTCCCTGGGCTCTTATAAATAAATCCTTCAGACATGTGAGGTTCATCTTCCAGGCCAACATGCATCCAACATCTTTTGAACCTTCCTCTGATGTGACTGCTAGTCCCTGCGACGTCCTGGTCTGTCTGCTCTGCATGGGGGTCCCTGTTCCTCCAAGCAGAGCGCAGGGCACAGCGCAGGTCCACTCAGCCACAGGGAGCGCCTGGTCGGTTTCTAGCTGAAATCCAGTTGCACTTTGAACACTGCATTTTCCTTCCTGGGGCGAAGAGGCTGGTGTAACAAGATTTGTTCTTAATGACCTTCTTTCCAAAGAAGGCAGAAGCCATGTTTAGGAATTCGATATAAAATCACACTATCTGCTCCAAACGGCAGGTTTATCCCCTGTTGTTTTTATGGTTTTTTATCTCAGGAAGAAAAGTATAAATGTTCTTAGCATTCTCCGTCCCCGCCGCCCAATCATAGCTCACTAGGTCCCTGGCCTATTTGTTCTCATGGGTTCTTGCTGTCCTCTTACGGTCATCCTTGGTTACCGGCCCCTCTGACCACCTCTTGTGCAACTCCTTACAGCAGAGGATCCTGGTGCTCACCCTCTTTCCTGTGTGCTCCCTGTCCTTACTCTCTGGGGAAGGCCTGAGTGACATTTTTTTTTTTTTA